CCAAGGTTAGGTTGGCATCTCCTTTGTATCTGAGCCTATATATATGCAGAATTAAACAATATTTTTCTGAAGATACCTTTTCACTTCGTTACTAAATACGTTGTAAGTTGCATTTGAAAAAATTATCGCTCTTAGTCGCCTTCTGTGTAACACATAACTTCAGTAGAAGTTGTTCGAAGGTAATTGTTAACAACTACACCGAGACTAGTAAAAATGCCAGCTGTTCGAAGTGATATCTACCCTTACATCGGTCATAACATTTTGGCTTTTTGACTCTAACTAAAGTACCGAAACTGAACATACGCTAAGGTAGAAAGGAAAAGTTGCTTATAAAGTCTTCGAGTTGTTGAAGTGTGTAGGAGAATTCTGTCGACCATCTCCAGTTGAGCATCTGCAACGCCCCAGCCTAGGTGGGAAGCGACAGTCGATTCCTCTAATATTTACGCTGGCACTCCAGCTTCTACCGTACACTGTACTAGATTCAAGAACGTTGCAAATCGTACCAACACCTCAGCGTATACTTCTAATATTGCTCACTGTTGTGCACACATACGTGCAACAACAGCTGGCTAATATCGGTTGGCAACATCCTCGTGCTGAAGCAGGAGGATGTTGCCAGGAAGGCAAAACTGCTTTTCCTTGTTGCCTTTTTCTCGCTAACGCCCACTTTTCTGCCTGTTGCTTGCGTTTGCTACGAAGATGGTGAACTCCTTTGTTGTGAGTCAGTTACTTACGATGACGTTTATGAGTGTGTGTATGGGTGGGTGGGTGGGGGGGCGGACGTTTATAAGGCAAGATCCACCCACAGATCGGTTGGTACGTCAATAGACGAGCCTGTCTGCTCTACGTACGTATGCAGTAACCGAATAGTTTCTCAACCGTAACGCAAACTAATATACAGCCGAAAAAGGAGATCACATGCTCTAATAAAGCAATAACTCCATTTATTCAAAATCCTAACCAACCGTACGTATTCCACATGACTGTACCAGAGATTCATCATGATTCACAACAAAATAGAAGTTACCAATGGATTTTTCCGACTCTATACTAAATATTTGTTGTCGCAAAGGATTTAGTCCGCGTATAGCCACTATCTTATGTTACGTTAGATTTTAAAAGTTTTTTTTTTTTTTTTGTGAGATATTCTTTCATTGTGCACTTTTGTTCAATGCCAAATCAATATTTTCTACTTGGTTTTACTATCAGCAGACTGTCTGGCGCAAGGCGCGTGTCTTATACGACCTAAAAAATAATAACGCTCTGGTGAGACATTCTTGCACAGTTTTCGATCATTGTAATTCTTTATATTAATCCTAGTTTAAAGCATCTGAATCTCCTTCAGCGTCTGCCGGTGGTATGCCTATTCAATAGGTAGCTAGGGTTCACTTAAGGAGAACGCTAGACAACAAGATCGTGTCGGTCTCAACGTTAATAAATGGAGCAGTGTTGACAGGCGACAAACAGAAGGGTATGAATATCAACTATGGTCTGTTTGTATTTTTTCATAGTTTTAAGATTTTATATTTTGTTTTTTTAGCACTATTCGAGATATCGTAATGTTTCTTAGTTACATTAGCTAAAAAGTTTCTTGATAGCTCCAATACCTCCCATATCGGCTTATTTATTAAAATACTTCTAACATTTTTATACAAATACACATATAATTGTGATTTACATCTGATCTTTCAACATACATCAAAGCTGTTTCAAAGCATACAAGGTAAAATCCAGTTGGTGTCAAAAGAATTTCCATAGGTTTACCAATCGAAAACAGTCAATATTTTTGACGAGATAGAAGTTTTACTTTGGTCGCATTTGGAGGTACACAAATCTTAGCAACTGAGTCAGCTCTGAAAACATCTGATATAGCGGCGAACGGCAAGTTACTGTTATTTAAGAAGCTTCTCCCCTGTTTATGATTGGGAAAAACACTTCGAAAAACGCCAATAAACTTGTGTACTGCTATGGAAATTGCAACGATAAAATAATAAACAAGAGAACGTGCTGGAGAGCCGACACGCGATATGAGTTTTTTCGCTTAATTTAAATACGAATTTGGTATGGAAAACTAACTTCATTCAGTAGGTAGCTCGTCCATTTTTTGTAGTGTCTTTGCTATTTGAATATTTATATTAAGGTATAGAGGCCTCCATTTCTGTATTATAGAGTTGTGCGGCTAAAATGTGTCCTGTATTCGGAAAGCGGCTCCATAATATCAAACTCATTTGTAAATTAAAACAGGTATCATTTTTTATTTACGTCTATAGTAGTAGTTGTTTTGATTATACAAGCATGCATACTTAAATCAAGTTTACGTCGGAACCTCTAGGGTGAAGGCATGTCCTAAAATTAGCTCTGTGCAGAAGTAGGCTTTTGTTTATAGGAGTTATTCTTGTTTAGTTGAATGCTTTTTCTGTGTGTCATTTACATAATCTTTTTGCAGACATTTAAGGAAAAAATTATGTCATTCAGCGCATTACTTCTGTGCCCGAACGTGTGCACTAATGTAACTTATACGTATCACTTCAAAAGGGCTATGCATTACTTGCTACGATTTACGTTTGTTAGTAGGAAAAAATAGGCACTGGTCGGTACAGCTAGGTAAAATCTGTGTACTTTGCTAAGTTGCTTCGAAGCGCCCTCTGTCTACGAAGTGGCCTCTTTGGCTGCAGGTAGAAGGGTCAGTTCCGGTCCTCCTCATACTTCGACTACCTGTCTTGCGAGGTGATAATCTGTTTATAGCCCACGTATTCGTGTCATTAATTGAACACCGATTGGAAGATATTGATAACAATTTCCGTCAAAACACTAATTCCGAGAGTCTCTATCGAATGGGTTTCTAGCTGTAAAATTGTTCATTATGCTCAATGACCGCGTGGCTCTAAGCTCTTGTTTATAACTTCCATTAGAAGTCCTTTTGGCGCAGATGTATTTTTTGAAAAAACAATATATCATTTTGTTCAGTATTTCTGTGTCATATAGCAAGTTAGACGACGGTATGTAGCCTTTTACGATTTGCCTTGTTTTTTTGATCCCTTTTCTGGACATACTTTATACCTCCGGTTTCGTGGAACAAAATGAAACGTATAAAGTGTATTTTAATAGGCTGTCTCCGTAATTACTGAACTCTACTAAACATACCATAAGGATAAGATTGTACTTAAGTGTAATTAAGTGGAAGCTGATGAAATCCGGTTCGTATCGTTAGAGCCATGCGTCTCCAGAGTAGTGGTCTTCTTATCAGTGATGCTCAAAGGTGATGCTTCCTATACTGCATATTGACGTATGTATTAATCGTATATAAAGTACACTCATTCTGGTAGCTTTGCCGCGCAATACAGATATCAAGTGATCCGTTTGAACCATCACATAGTATAAAATGTGCGGACTGAACAACAATAAAATGTTGCTACCCATGATGGCGCGCTAGAAAAAATACGTTGTAACAGCTGCGCGGCATACAGAGTAGAGTCTAGAAGAAGAATCATTAACTGAACTCGTAAATAGAAAGCCGAAGTTATACAGAGTTCCAGAAATTAATTAACATAATACCCTGATTTTCTCGTGGTTAAGTTATCAGCTACCTTTTACCACTGCCACATTAAATGTATGAATAAAGCATTTGTCGTAAATCTAAGGGCTTTAAACAGAGATGCAGTTTAAACATTTGTAGACTTCTACAAACCACTTGCTTCAAATGCAGCTCTTAAAATCCGCAGCCAAAAGGCCACTGTTCCCGCCCTTCGTACCGTTTCTGATCCATTCGTTTGTCCTGGTCAAATCATGAAAGTACAATAATCTATAACCTCCCACTGTCCTGCCTAGCACTCCATCTTCTTTTGTTTGGGGCGTAAAAAAGAGTAAAATAGTTGACAAATTCTGGATGACCCATCTATGGCTCACTAATAGTGGTCGCAACCCTATACGCAGAAACCCTGTTGCTTGACGTTTATCAAACTATAGTTCTATTGTCCTAGCTCTTTTTTTCCTTTGGATATTCTTTTTTACCTTTATTTACACACATTTCTTTTTTTTTAATCTCTTTTTTCTATCACAATTATTTAATTACATGTGTATGCCATACTATTATTTTTTACGACTTTCTTATTTCAAATCAAGGCTAATATGATTTCCAGTTAGATCTATGGCGTACAATTTATTGAACAACATATTTAACACAATCGTGAGCGTTGCTTTCGCGAAATTCAAAGCGAGCATTATAAAACAATATTCAATACAGAAATGCAAATTGGACAGGGAGTAACCGTGAAACGACTCAATTCTGGGCTCGTTAACACTGGTGCTGCGACATATGGAAGGCTGACACGCCCCATATGGTCATTGGGCACCACGCGCATCGGCATATTTGCGTTCAGTCTCGTAGAGCCTTACCAGCGATGCGAATTTCCGTAACTACAACGCCAGGGGGCTGTATGATTATATGCACTAACCCAATCAACCGCTAACTTTATCGTCAAACAGAAATTAGTAGAATGATTGGTTTGCTGTTACATCACGCACGTAATCACAATATATTTTGCTTTTAACTTAGCTCCTACGCATTCACAGACGTCGTCTCATTTTCGCACACTGTTGCGGACCCATAATAACGTCTAGAAGCGAGAGTAAACACCTCTGTAGATAAGTAGACAGGCATGGCCATTATGATATATGCGAACAGACTAGTCAATAACATTACGACAAATCTGCCCTTCATGTAAAACAAAAAAAAGTTTGCCGATATCGGTTCCCAGCTAGAAGAGTTGTTACGGTAGATACTTTCTCACCTCATTGGGCGTCGTGCACTTTTTTACTGCTAAAATACTATTAGCCCACTGACTAACTATTCTGTTTGGGCAACCTTTAATTTCGACCCCGAACACCTATAAAGACTCAAATGTATTCTGGGTCATAATCAGAATCTAAGTATGTCAGTGTTAGCCACAGCATTTAGTCCTGTCTATTCAACTTTGGCACCTAATAATGACACCATGGAGTGTTCGACATATAACTAGAAACAATTTATTAAGCTCAGAATTCTAACGAAGAAGAAAGTTACCTATTGAGCAGTGCCGCTAAAAGGCAATAGATCTAAAAAGAGACTAGAGCATTTAGTAAGATCCATGGGCTGGAGCATGGGCGTAAGTGGCTATAGGAGCGGGAGCAATAGGCTTCACAGCAACCGGGGCGGCGTGGTAGTGGGCAGCAGCAGGAGCCGAAGGAGCGGTTCCAGGCTCATTGGTCTTGATGCTGGCGCGGAAACCGAGTTTGTCGGCAACATACTCAACGTGACGGGCAATGCCGTGGGCATCACTGAACGAGTACGACCCTTTCTTGTTGTTGTCGCCATCGGAAACCTCGTGGCGGGACTGCTTGGTGCCATACTCATCAACGGACTCATAGCCAAACTGGTATGGCTGAGGGGGATAGTCGATAGCGGCCTTGGTTATAACAGGAGCGGCAGCCACCTTGGCGATGGGGGCAGCGGCTGCATAGGCCAAAGGCGCGGCGTGACCATATCCGTATGATGCAGCGGCGATATCATGTCCGCCGCCGTATCCGTAGGCGGGAGCAACTTGCCCTCCGACATGTCCAGTAGCTATAACTATCGAGGCGATAACTACCTGTAACGAGAGAAAATCACACAGCTGTAAATCGTTGTCTCGATCTGTCGTGCATTGAAAATTATTTCGTTGATATCCTTAAGAAACAGCAACACGGCATAAACGTAGGCACTGTATCCTTTGGCAAGCAAAGCAACTTCAACCGGACTCAATTATGTCTCAAAGTCTCCAGGTCACAGAGAACAGACGCAACGTAGGCTTCATTTACCTTAGCGAGCATGTTGAAACACTTCGGTGTACACTTGTCACTTGATGAGCCCACAGCGTTTTCGATCGGCTTTTATAGCTGGATTGTGTCAAGCAGAAAAAGCAGGCCCTATAGCTGCAGGGCGAGTGATCGTTGTCCACTAACCCGATCCTACAGCCATTGACTACGGCGTGGGTCCACATGCAGCTGTATTCTGGGTGCACAGAATTCACTCAAATTAGCACTGATGATTTTTACCAGTCATAACATGCCTGTAGCTTATAAGCAGGAATTGCCGGAAACAAAATAACCACTAATAGGAAGGTAGTTAATCACATCGGTCACGAGACTGCATACGTATTTACGCATTTGATTGCCTTTTTACATACCCCTTGTACCTGATCCTTATATGCCAACGCATTCTTAAATTAACTCATTTTCGTTTATTACCAGAACTTATTAAAAAGAACAGTTATTGTTGCACGTTATCATCATTATTATTATAATTATGAGGAATACATAGGTTGGCTTCCACCAAGCAGAAAAGCAATTACGTTATATTTACAGGGACATTGACTTCCAAAGGTCTGGGCCCTAGCGCGAACGTGAGCGAGTTGAGCTCTCCTAATTCGACAATAGATACAATGTAAACATACAGTACTTCGACCAGAAATTTCCACAGCCAACGCACAATTTCGAAAGAATTCGTCTACTTTAGGCGCGAAAATTAACAGCCGTCTTAGCGGTTCTAATTTAGATTATTCAGGTTTTTTTTTACTCAGATATAGTTTACATATGTAAATATAATGTTTATTAGGAAAAAATCTCTTAGATGGATACAAGGCCAGGTGCCTGTTCTTGTAAACATCCTAAACTTGTTAGCTGATACGCTGTACGCTTTTTATTATAGAAACGTGACATCGTACCATCACTTGGCCAGATGTAACACTTGTACACTAAGCACTGGCTGTTAATGAAATGATACTAGCTGATTTTGTATGTTAGAGGGGATCATTTTTGGGCACCATAACCGTCAGACTAATCAACACTTTCCTGGGCTCAAGAAGCTCCGAACGTAGCGTTGTATTGTGTTAAGTTAAAAGCCACTTCTATGGTAGAAACTTTGTTTCATTTAAAAATGGGCGTCTTTTAATGGTACGTTATGTGTGTGTAGCTAGCATTAGAGGAATATAACTGCATAAGGAACCGGCGTAAAATGTGTACATTTGGGCATCTTTATCATATTTGTTTTTATAGTTTTTATTCTCGATTGCAGTAAATATCGTTTTGCAGCTAGTGATTCTGTTCTAAGATCACTGAAATCTCTGCTGCCGATAGTATGAGAATGGTCTGGGTTGTATTTCGTTGTCCGCCTGCCAAAGTTCAAGTTTAAAGGTTATATGGCAATTTCCTTGGACCCCAAATATCGTCTAGTGTCACATTTTATTATATCAGAGTTATATCATGGGTCATTCATATCTGACTGGAACTGCCTCATGTAATCAGGTTTGACTCTATGAACAGCACAATGTTATACTTGTGTAATTATTAAGACGCCTTTCAGATTAGGCAAATCAATAGCTTAATAGCAGGTGTTAATAATGATAATAACATTAGTAATGAAAAACTTTTTTGAAATTTTCTTTAACGTATAATATTAACTTTAATTAATATTTAATATAATAACTAATGATCAGATTAATTGACTTCAAAGGGTCTCCATTTAGTAGAAAATAAATAAAGGTCACGGACGCAGATTGGTCTGTTTTTATCGACTCACTGAAATATTTTAGACTTTTTAATAAAACATATATTGTAAATGTACGAGATCTCTAATTATAAGCTAGGTATTCTACGTTCTTTTCTGCGTTACATGATCCCTATATGATAGACATATGCGTGATATAACCTATATCATATGCGTGTTACGTAAAGTCCCTAAAGGTATCTAACGACTTTTGAATACGATGGAGCCAAAAGTCACTGTTCTATCTGCAAAACTTTCCATTCTATAAAGAAGAACCTGTATATATATATGTATATATATAACAAGAGAAACAATTTATTGCATCACAGCATTCAGAACAGGAAGGAAAATAAATACAGACAGCCACCTCGCAACTTTACAGAAGATACAAACTAGAGCATCCTACAGTAATAGCTTAGTAGTGGCCGTAGGCAGGGGCATGGGCATAAGCGGCTACAGGGGCAGCAGCCACAGCTTTCACGATAGGGGCGGCAGCAACAGTCTTGACGGCGATTGGGGCAGCGTTGTAGAGGGCGGCAGCCGGAGCCGAAGGAGCAGTTCCAGGCTCGTTGGTCTTGATGGTAGCACGGAATCCGGCAGCATCAGCAACGTAGTCAACGTGACGGGCAATGCCGTGAGCATCAGTGAACGAGTACGAGCCCTTCTTATTATTGTAGGCATCTGAGACCTCGTGACGGGCCTGCTTGGTCCCGTACTCGTCGACGGACTCATAGCCGAACTGGTACGGCTGAGGGGGGTAGGCGATGGCAGCTTTAGCTACAATAGGAGCAGCAGCGACCTTGGCGATAGGGGCAGCGGCAGCATAGGCCAGAGGAGCGGCAGCGACCTTGGCGATGGGGGCAGCGGCAGCGTAGGCTAGAGGAGCAGCATGAGCCAGGGGAGCAGCATTGGCGTATCCATGGTAAGCGGGGGCAGCCAAAGCCGGAGCAGCGGCTAGGCCGTATCCATCGTAAGCGGGAGCAGCGATTGCTCCAGCGCGAACGGTGACGATGGCCACAGAAGCAATGATAACCTAAGATATAGTGATGTTGTACGTTAGAAAATTGCGCGTAAACGATAACTAAAGCAAACGAATAGAAGGTTCTTCAACGAAGTAAGGCAGATTTCGCATGTCGTTGGTGAGATATCACCGTATTCACGTTGGTGAGTCTGATCCCTTAGCGAGTAGTTGCGAAGTGGATGCAAAAATATATAATTATTTCGCTGGTTAACATCGACCTGGAAATAAAAATACTTTGAAATCACAAATATTTCGACACACAAGCATGTCGTAAGCGTGTCGAAACCATTTTTTCTGCGAATCCTATTTATCTTCGAGCTTAGTGGCTAAATGAATCCACGAGACGTTTTGTACTGTTCTCGGTAAACTCGGCGCATACTTGAAAAGCTTGAGTGCTATACCTTAGTAAACATGTTGCTGATTGGGCAGTAAGCTGTGACCCGACACAGCCGACGGGACAGCTTTATAGCGGGCGGTGGCGCAGAAAGGGCGTTTCTTCAGTGTCAAGGGAAGTCCACTACTCACCATATACAAACGCGGCGGATATAGCTACGGTCGTGTCTTCTTTACGGTGCCCCGCTGCTACAGTAGTCAACGTGTGCTGCACTATCCAGATCGCAAGCAGCACAACCAACTCTTCAAGTTGCCCCCTACCCCCCGCCCCCTTCCCGCCGATCCTCACTCTCCCTCAATCGTCTACCCTTCCCCTCGTACACTCACGCACAGGCGACGTCCACCATCATGTGCATCAACTGCCATAGCAGCTACAGCTACAGAATCGGCGACTCCTTCGCTGATCCGTGCTGGTGTCCAAATTGCCCCGTCTTTGAGGTACAGTAAATGCAAATCGTTTTTCTGACACCGAAATCGCGGCCGCGCTCTTGTAACGTTTTCCTAGCCCACCCATATAATACATAAACTTTTATTGTATCGGTTTGTTTTTCGTGATCGAAGAATGCCACTGTTTGTTTGCTTGCGTTTGTTTACACATCGCTGATTTTATATATAGAGACTCGTGGGGAAACATGCAACTATTGTTACCGAACGTAACTGGTTACGTCAGAAATTCGTCTGCTTAAGTTACGAAGGCAGCGCGATGCTATAGATTCGGTCTGGATGTTTTGACAGAAGATAGGGAGTGAAGTGAACACAAAATATCTATTCCTTTACTTTTCGAGACACCAGCGTTTTATTTTCATAGCATCAATTAACTTACAGCAATGACAGTGTGCACTGATACCTTTTAATAAATATCACTGCACTTCGAAGATGCTGATGATACGGTACATGGTAGTGCACAGCATGCTTTGAAAACACGGTTACCTCCTTGGCCTCCATCATTTTCTACAGCTTATCAACTAAGGTACTTCATAAATTAACATTAGCAGTACTATCCGTACTATATGAAATTGAATTATTTTTTTCTTGTATAATACAAAATATTGCTATCGTTGTCATTTATATGGTAACTTATGATCAATGGCCCATCATTTCGCTCCGACCTGCAGCTGTTTCTGTTCACTGTTCACCTCCAAATGGGTGTTGGTTTGGCAAACTTAGTCCACGCTGGGGCATAACTGTGCTCTTCCGTCTCAATAGTAGACGAGGACGGTGCCGTCTGGGTCTTCAGAGATTTTGTACTATTTAGGTTACGTCCTTCACGCTCAAAGGATCCGGCCTTTCGTCCATGCTGTAAATAGGAAATATAAATAAAAAGCTCGTTATTTTTCAGTTGCTAAAATAATATTGCGAAAAATTTATATCATCCATGTGTCATATGAATTCCGTTTTTGTAAACAAACGCCTCATGCTCCGCATGACATCATCCAACGAAGCGTATTTTCCCTCAGACATTTTTTGAGTATAGCTATTATCGTTACATATATGCACGAATAGGTCATACGCAGTCTGATTAACTTTCTAATTTTCGGAATTGTACCAACCTTTGCCGATAGTTCTGTCGCGTTGGCATTTACCATGGTCGTAGCATTATTACTGCTCGAGGTACTGTCAGTCTTTCCATTCTTGCCACTGATGAAGAGAGCCGTTTTGACGGTCTGTTCCTGCAAGCCTTTACGGAGGGTCAACGCCTCTGGCACCATGTTGGTCGAATTTTTACACCTCAGCTGACGATATTCCAGGTGGAAGCCACGGCCTTCTACATAGGCATCTGATTGTAGCATGATTTTAATCTCGGAATGACGGACCGATGGAAAATCGAAAATACCTCAAAAAAGATAAACGAATATTGTTATGGCTTCCCGGTATTGTTGTCCTGCCAACATATACCTATGCTCTGCGTGTCAGTTGTGTACAACGAATGAAATACGTCCATTGTTCTTGATGTCGACGTGTATCTATGTATCCATATGTAACTCAACTACGACGGGCTCTAATTGATAGAGGACTAAAGCTCAGATTTTCCTATATACGACCGTTACAAGCGACTCAACGTTACTGAATTGTATACTTAAAAGCAATTTTCATAATTTTTTCGACTTATACTTCATTCTAATGCAACATATTGAAATAAACAAGTATTTTATTAGAACGTACGCACGATTTATGCTGCCACAATGCTTCTTCGTTGCCTAAACAACACGAATAAATAGGGACGTGTGAATCTTACTTGATTTTTTCTTCAAGTCATTGGCGCAATAGTACGATCCATCAAGTGCAACCATATCTTTGTGACAAGCAGGCGAGCTTTCTAAATCGAAATCGTGCCAATATATTTCTACATGGCAATACCCATCCACTGGTTCTATTCGGTACGAACAACGCGCATTAGCTCCGTATGAACTCGGATAGTTGGGTGACGCAAACTGGCCATGCGTCTCACGTTGGCAATAATCGCACAATGGACTGGGGGGCAGTGGAGTCTCCTTTCCGACTAGAGTAGTTGGTAGAGTTTGCAACAAAAAAAAAGAAAGTGAAAGAATACAGTTTCTATATAGTAGCAAAATCTAACAAAACCTTGCACCGTTTATAGAACGTGAGAAAATACGTTTCGCCAGCACACGCATAGCAAACAACAAGATAGATAACCGACAAATAACCCAAAAGAATCACACATGTTAGTGTTAATTGTGTCCAATAAAATACCACCACAGAAGGAAATGATGAAGGAGAGCTGCTCCTATGAATGATTTTGAGGGCAAGTGATCTTGAATCGGTGCTGACAGGAAATAAAACCACCACGAACGAAACACGAACGGCTAAGCCGATGGAGTTGGATTTATCACCAGCAGACTTTGGGACTAAAGAAGTTGGGTATACAGGAAAGCGAGGGCGACGGGTTGGAGAAAAGTCAGGATGGCCTCAAGCAGTTCATAGATAGAAAAACTTACGTGAAATGTGGTCTGTCACAACGACTGACCCAGTGATGGCAACCTTGTATAGTGGAGCAGATCTGCTTGACCGATTCAAGACAGATCCGTCTAAGGTGATATTTTATTGTACATAACTAGCAAGCGGTCTGGAAACACACGCCTGCAAGGTGCTTATTAAACTTGCTGTACAACACGAACGGGAGGAGTCACCAAAAACTCGTGACCCCTAAGTGTTCAGCCTGTAATGCATTTGCTTGCGTTACGTGACCGTTAGATGTGCGCGTTTTTGCCTGAAAGCTACTTGAGGTAGACGAGTTCAGTGTAGTCACAGTACGAGTACATACACGGCCGATCCTGGACGGCGCAGTCGGTCACCTGGCGCACCCTTAACGAGAAGCCACGATTCGAAAGGGCGTTGCGATCCGCATGAAAGGTGAGAACCTTCTCATTTTGAGGTTCGTTAAAATTGATTTTCTGGATTTGGTTCACGGGCATATTACAGAAACGCTTCCCATCGATTTCCAGATATGCAGAATTACAACTGCCCGTTTGCTCTAGGTCCATGAGATCATAATACAGCTCAATTGCACACGTCGCCTTGTCGTATCGCCGAATTGTATACTTACAGTCACCACCTGGCGGCAGAAAAGTAAACCTTTTAGCAGCACACAAAGACTTTTCGCTACGAAAAGCGCCTTTAGTTCCCCATGAACTGACATTCTACGATTTAAAAAGTTAACACAAACCTGAATAAGGATTCGGAAACCCGGGTGACGTGATCTTGAACTCTAGACCCGAGAAGGTGGCATCGCAGTTGGGATGCCGCTGGCTAGGTGCATCAAGAGGCCTATTGTATGGTCGATCCTGTGGTCGATCATATGGGTGATCACCGGAGGGGCGATCTCCGGGACGGTCATATGGCCTGCCATACGGGCGGTCGTAAGGGCGGTTTTGAGGTCGGTTGTACGGCCTATCCTCGGGTCGATCATAAGGATGCTGTGCAGGACGATCGTACGGTCGTCCGGGATAATTAGGTCGCTGTGGATAGTATGGGTCTGTGCGATCCTCCGCATGACGTGTAGGAGTTCCGCCCGGCTGTTGAAATCCGGTCGAGTTTTCGTCACATGTACTTTGACGTCCGCGAATGATATAGTCACTTGCTTTAGCACCAGCCGATGAATGGAAATAGAGATAAAGGGGTCTCATAAAGTCATGAAATTTGTACTGTTTGACGGTGTTCGGGGGTATAGTTCCACATAACTGGTGATCATCGATCCTCATTTGATCAAATTCGCAATTTATTTCAAAGCGCAGGAAGAGGACCTCGAGGCACATATCGCTGTTGCGATTTTGTTGGTATATCGTGAATCTGGAAATTATTGAAAGACAAACATTTATTAAATGCTCTTTCCTTATGCTCAAACAGTCAAGTGCATTTTTTTCAAAATAGTCCCCAAACTGTATATTGGAGATCATTATCACCTCAAGAGCCACTCAATACTTGCCTACAGTCAATGTGATTGCCTACAAACTCGTTCGACTTAATCTCGAAGTATGGCTCATGCACCATTTGGTCGCACTGTCCTTTTCCGGGTGGAGTAGGGCCTGTCCCATGAGGCCCGTGAGGGCCGTGTCCAGTTGAACCGTGTTGGCCTACGCCACCCCCTTGAGGGTAGGAACCTGAGAAAGATTCAAATCTACATTTTCTGAATCGCTTTCTGCTACTCATTCAGCGCTAGATTATTTTGATATGTATTATGCCACATTTAAAAAATGAGTGTTTTTGTTGAACTGTATTATGCATCATACTACTAAATGCATTATTTGCCGTTCGTAACATGCTTCAAAAGTGATCCAGATGGTTTTACAGTACTTCTAATTTATACTTTTGATAGGCTAAATGTATTTAATGAACTGAGTATCCTAAATCTACCCTTTAAACATCGATGTACGCGATTAAGGCTAGCCCCAGAACGTACCATGAGCTTTAACCACATAACATGCTCATTAGTTTTTTTTACCTGGCTTAATTCACCAAGACTGTTTCCTGTAATCTGTTATTAGTAAAGAAATAAATTTGTTAAAACTAAATCAAGCATCAGATAGTTAAAGAGTCACAGTTCAGCTTGAAGGTTCGTTCACGCGCCACGTTCATGCATCAGCACCGATTGACTTCAACGATTAGTACTGCGGTAGCAAAACTCCAAGGCCGAATCAAACCACCCGGTATCGCTTAACTTACCGGGCCGCGTAGGCATTCCAGCCCCCGGATGATACCTGCCAGGGCTATACGATGGGCCATAGAAGTCAGTAGGCCCGCTTAGCGGTCGCATCGGCCCGTATCGTCCATAGCTACCCAAAGCTCCTCCGTACCCGCCGGAACCGGCGTAACCTCCTGATTATTTAAAGTATTACTATGTTAAATCTGTACCATTGCGGCTTAATTTTTCGTTAAAAAAAGGTGTAAAACCTACCTGATCCATGATGCACTTCGTGAGGTGGTGGGTAGGATGTACTGCCTCTATCCAGAGGTGGTAATGGGGGTCCCACATCAGTTCTTGTCAGAGTGGGTGGATCGTGCGGAAAGCTACCTCCATAAGGATGCTGAGGATACAACCCACCTCCGCCAAGTTGAGGATTACCTCCACACGGAACCTGACGGACATTTAAAATAAAACCCTGCCGACTACCTTGCGGAGCGCCCTGATTCGAATGGAACACAAATCCAGTTTGGAAATCCTTTAACGGTACCATGCGGATTGTCCCTGAAAAGGAATAGTGTCTCTGCTAATATTTCGTACCTAAATGCCTCTGTACCTGTTCATATCTATCATAGCTCGCCATGTCCACGAATATCCACGTTGAATCGAATTTCGATGGCATGACTGCATCGAACCCAATTTTTAGTCGTGGCTTTTTATTTTTGTATCTACGACAGTTTCTAACTTGAAAATAAACGTAAAACTGGACAAAAATTATTCAGTTCGAGTGATTGCTTCCCACTGCAGTAGAGGAGAGTGTTTTAGTAATTAACTACAGGATCCCGTCTGTCTACAAAAAAAAAGTAGAAATTTGTTCAGGTCCTTTATAACACTTTCACATGAATTTCCTCGTAAGGATCTCACCAGTATCGATGGCCACCAATTAACTACTTACAGTCCTACATTTTCGCTGCTTAATTAAACTTTTTCTTGCCTGTTCGAAATTTAAAGTCTATACTTGGATATTTACCTGGAGCTACATGTCCGCATATTTTCTCTCCGTCAATCTCGAGGTAATCGAAGAAGCAGCCTGGAGATTCGGCTAAGTTGAAGGTTTGGAAACTGACAGCCAACGAGCAGATGTCGGGCGATAGGCGCCGTACAAAGTATTTACAATCTAGTCCGCCTAAATACGGTCCTGGGTGTCCTGGTGATTCAACACTAAATTCTGCTAATGCGTACAGCCTGTCGCAAGATGGTTGACGCTTTTCGCCATGGTGGCCACCGCTGTCCGCCTGATGAGACCGAATGCTATCAGGTGATAGATCAGTGTGAATTACCGGTCTTCCAGGACCCGCACCAGGACCTCCTCGGCACGCCATTTGTCTATAGAATCCGAGGAAACCTTTTCCATGCGCTTCTTCATCTGTGAAAAACTTCATCTCCACGTGCGGAGGATGACCATCGAATTCCAGGGCCCCTGCAAAATTCCTCACATTATTACACTACCTCTAAAAGTGTAAAAATGTCCTCAAGACTAAAAATCGTTCAGGCCATCACTTACGAATCTGTCCTTCGAGCTGACGGTGACAGTATTTAATTCCATTTAGTTCCATGTAATCGTGATCGCATGTTTCTGATGGATGTATTGCGCCCATTTCGTCAAGTCGAAATTGTACAAAGTTCAATTCGACACTGCAGTGACCTGGCTTGGCGAATATTTTATATGTGCAGCTCATTCGATTCGGATACGGCCCAGGAAAGTTCTGCGAGTAGAACACTCCCGAGTGCTCGCTGAACTCGTATTTGCAAGGACTTGAACTGTGGTCTAGAACGTGGCTTCTGTAAGTAGTAGAGAAGGATTGGAAGGATGCCATAAGTTACCAAAAATGAAGCTGTCATTAAACAACACATTTAAGGAATTCGACCTACCCATCGCCATGATGTCCGGTACCCCTGTCAGCAGGTATGTGGGGGAAATCTGGGGTATCCTCTCGGTGGCCAGGTCGGTGATCCGTATGATCCGGTCGATTCCAATCGATTCCGTCAAAAGTCCAGTTGCTTCCTGGTCCATCGTTAGAGCCAGGCTTCCACGGCCGATTAAAATCAAAGCCGCTGCCGGTTTTGTCAGATACACTAGAAGGACATTCAACTTGCTTGACTTTTATATGAAATCCAGAACGCGTAGACACTGGATCCGTATGCAGTCGCACTATCTTCTGAGCGCTACGAAAGGGGATAACCTGTAATACCGTGCATGTTTGTGTTGTCTTAATAAACTGAATATTTGTGATCATTTTCTTTTTTCCAGTACGATAACAATTTTTCACGGAGTCGCCTTGCACGCTACCTCATTCATTAGCCCTTACGTGTCGAGTCTTCCGTCCGGTATCGTTGTTAGGCATTTTATCAGGCAGCTGGCCTTCAACACCGAATGAATTGTGTGTCTATGGCTGTATTCGTAGACTATCCAGCAAAATTGTTACACCCTAAGCGATTATGTAATCAGGCGGGATCCTGCTAATACTTTAGCCCGATCCCGCTTAACAAATTTATTCAGCATCTGACGGGAAATTGCGGATTTCGTCATTATCATCAATAAAATGTGTATCCTTTTAGATTTAAATAAAATTGAACTTTTTAATTCAAGTTTACCTTCTTAGTATCCGCAAGCAGGTTTCCGCAGAGACGTTCACCATCAATTTCAAGAAAGTCCGCTTCACAATTAGCTTCCATGTCAAAGTCAATAAATGTGAATTCAAGTCGACAGACATTGCTGTTGGCTTGGAAGATGATGTATTTACAGTCAAGATTGCCAGGGTATCCACTGGGATAGTCGACACTTCTTAAGTCGAACAGCTTCGACGTAAACACTTTATCGCACCTGCGAGGTACGACGCTGCTCACAGCCGGGGTATCTGTAAAGTCCTCTAGTCAAGAGGAGGTAACATGCGATGCAGCGACAAAATTCTAACTGAGAACCGACACCCAGAGTAGAAGCTAGAAAGTGGGCTGTTCAGCCCACAGAACGGGCTGATTGAGCCAGATAAAAGAAGTAGCGAAAAGGAAAAAGATGCTTGACTTGTAGTGTTGGTGTATATGTGCGACCCGCTCAGTGAAACCTACCAAAACCGCCTGATCCTTCCTCTTCCTGTCTACCGCAGTCGATCTGACGCATTTTGATCTGGAACCCAGGTCGTGAGTTGGCCGCATCGCTATGAAATTTAAGAGCCTTCTCAGGCTCATCGAACTCGTAGATACCACTCGTATTTTGAGTGAATACTCCGCACAGCTTCTCGGCACCAACTTGCAGGTAATCGTATTCGCAGTCGGTCGATGACTCGACATCGAACTTCTGGAAGACTAACTCAAGTCGACACACCGAAGCTGCGGCCTTTCGAATCGTGTAGCTGAAAATGATGGCACATCAACATGCCAATACGCAAACATAAAAACAAACGCGTAGATGCTCAATAATGAAATGGGACGTTGTAGATTCCGCTCGAACGCCTCAAGATTTCTGTTCCACTCGGGAAAAGCATTTGGAAAATGAGTCGAGTCTAGAAATTGGTCAGCGTCGTGACCACGGCAGTGTGTAGCCGATTCCTATAAAAATATTTATTGGAACATAAGCCAAGACAACAGATCTAGTCAGAGTCAATGAGAACTCGTAACTCACACGCAGTTGAGGTTGTTTTCATATGAGTTAGGATAGCCAACAGATGTGATGATGGCGTCGCGTGTTGCATAAACGCGGTCACATTGCACAGGTTCCCTAGTACTTGTCTTTTCGCCTGCCGCGTCCCGGGATTGGCTACACTCGACCTGCTTAATCAACAGTCGAAAGCCTCGATCGGTAGTCTTATCGTCTGAATGGAACTCAATCTTCTTGGTGTCCTCCTTCATGTCGAAAACACCTGCCGTTTACACCATGTGTAGTTATCTACGATTAACATCAACCTTCTCTGAACATCTGTGTCTAATATTTCCTTCCAGATCCAGACCGCCCGCTTGGTGCACAATGCTTCTACTATAATTTATTCAGGACACCTGTCGAAGGAGTTTCTTCATGAAGTGCGTACAGTTTACTGAAGTAAAAATATTCGATGGCAGTTCTGTTCTATGGTGCAGCACCATTCTGTTTCGATCAGGTTCATTCAAGTTTTCCCATAAACGCAATGGAGACCTTCATATTATGATATCTTTACTAAATCCACCGAACGAAAAAGTTCTACCTCCTGATACCTTTTCCAATATGCTCGGGCTTAAGTGTTTGTTGCATTGATGTGGTTTTGACATTATGACGTAGCTCAGATGGTCAGAGTTAAATCTAAGCATTTTATGGTGATGCCGAACTATGCCAGCCCTAATTAGAAGCGCATACGCAATGCATATAAAGCTAAGCAGCATTTGTACCCTAAAACTTTAATTTATTGTACCAGAAGCTATTGGGAAATGTTACTAACGATAAAATAGTTGTTTTATCGTATTTTAACTGCTATCAGCCGATTCACTCACGGATAGTGCCTGGCACGACAGCTCCGCACACGCGCAAATCGTCAACTGAGAGGTGGTCTCCCTGGCAGGTGTCAGAGGCAGGTAACGAAAAGTCCGCAAAAGTCACTTGAAGTCGGCAGACGTTTGGATTGTTTTTCTGGATAGTGAATACGCAGTCTTGAGAGTTTCCGTACGCCTCTGGATAACCGGGCGACTCAATTTCGAATGTGATCGCAATGAAGGGCGTTCCGTTGTTGCAAGCTGATCCATCAAGTTTTCGTCCTATTGGGCTTGTCCCGATACGGCGAGACCCGCATCCGAGCTGGCGGACTTGAATCGAGAACCCTTGATTTGGGCTGCCCTTATCGCCGCTGTGGAACCGAATGATCTTGCCGCCTTCGACGAAGGGTATTACATCTGCGAGGACAATAAAAAAGGATTCGGTTCTGGACAATTAAAATTGTCTGCAATCTAATTCTTGTCAATTTACAATCTAGTGCTTGTTAGCACAACAGGAGCGTCATCATCGCAACGTATCGTTCAACAGATAAAAACGGCGTATTGCTATTGGTTTATATAGTACAGCAAATTTGGATGAAATTGAATTGCACCCTTCAGCTATACAATTATTATTGCCTGCTATATTATTAAGAAAGATAATTGTTTTTATATCTAGATGTGCACTGATTTAATGCACAGGGCGCTATAATGTTGAACTAAATAAAGCTTCCTTTAAGCTCCTTATAGCGAAAACGAAAATTGCATTAACGAAATCAGCTTATACGCCGTTTACTTTATACTAATTGATCTAATACGAATGTACTGATTATTATTAAGGCGTATATTTTTCTATTGAAATGAATTAAACTACAGAAAATTACAGAGGCATTTTGTAAGGAACTAGATTCTAATCTAATGCAAAAAATACGCAAAAAATGGCACTGCATTGCTTTTATATACTGTGATACTTATAATTAAGATAAGTCGTTAATGAAAATTCACGCTTACGCATGTGGTCACTGGGCAAACTTCCGCAGTGTTTTTCTCCGCCAATTTCTAGGTAGTTTCTAGAACAGTCTATTGATTCTTCAAGATTAAACGAATCGTATGAAAGTTCCAAATAACAGATATCAGGACCGGCCCGAATCACCGTATATTTGCACTCGGAGTTGTCAGGGTGGCTTTGAGGGAATCCTACAAAGAAGATACATCCATGTTGAAATCGTTCCAAATCGGACGCAGCGCATTATGCGCTAACACGAAAATACCTTCATTTTTGATCGTGTTGTTATCTCCTGGATTCATTTCCATATCGAAGCCTACCTGGTGACTGTATGGTAAATTCCCTTGACATAAATGTCTGGGTGCACCGGTGCACTTTGGGCGTCGGTTGATTTGAGAGCGATGTGCACGCCAGCTGCTGGAAGCGTAGATGAAACCCCCTGCCAGAATTTTGCCCGTCTGAACGGAACACTAATTCGACATTGCCCTCGTTGTTATACTCGAGAACACCTAAAGACAGTATTTTTTTTACGGAACAAATGATGTTAATCGATTACCATGATCCTACTAGTATATACATCAATGGCTAGTACAGTTGACAAATCGAAATACCGCATTGAGAAATCAAGGTTTCGTAATTTAGTTTTTAGCGGAAGAGAACCAACATAACGTGGCGTGTGAAAATCGGGTACGCACGCCATTCTCGATTTTGATTCTGCTATGTAATAACGTTCTGCCCAAATAGGCGATTTTATCTCAATGAAATTTCTATCACGTTACAGGCAATAAGCCCAGTTAGTTTACTGTGGCAGAGGTGTTGATACAGAAATTGGGTCCTGATAAAAACAACAGTAGAACCGGACCGAATAGCAATCCTATCTTATTGTTACCTTCAATGTCGCCATTTAAGTATTTCGATAAAAAAGTATCATTAGCATAGTTCACATTAATTCTAAGTATAAACGTAAAATTAAGAGTTACGTCTATCGTTTAACGTAATATAGCCTACATGTATTAGGAAACAGTGGCATTAAGTTGTGCAAACTTGCGCTTACGTGATTGTCCATAAAGCTCGTTTCCACAATGGCGCTGATCTCCAATAAGTAGAAAGTCCTTGTCACACTTTAAACTTTCTTCAACATCAAAGTCCTTGAAGAACATCTTAACAGAACAAAACATGTTTGACGGCCTCGAGATCGTCACTTTACACAGCAGGTTGTTTCTGCAATTATTAAGCTCGTTAGCTTACAGGTTTTTCTGGTAATTCTTTACGGCGACATGGCATATCCTTTAGTGAACCAAGAAGATCAAACATTGTGAAATAAAAAAACCTTCAAGTGATCGAAAATTATGTTAACATGCTTGTTTTCTTCTGAGAATATATTGTCCAAACAAATCCTGACTGACGAGTGAAACTATCCTATGGAGAGCTCATCCATAAGCCATTTACCATTAAACGTTACCGTTTATTTACTACACATATAGCGTTTTAGTTAGAAGAATAAAGTTATACACATAGTATTCAAACAATATTTGAATCAATCTCAGATATTATAAAAGCTTTCACGGATTGAAATAAATCGAACAGTGCAATACCATAGACGACAAAAAGTTTATTTAGTTAGCGCTACATCACTGGGAGTATTTCATCGGCGTTAATCTTAGATGAAACAGGGAAAACTACTCACCGATAATACTGACTGACAGCATAGCCATACGAGGTGAGATCGTCAGAGATTCTTTCAGTGCAGATATCGCATAGGGGCGGTGGGGCGAGCGGGCAATCGTTGGTTTGCCGCACGCGAATTTTGCCTCGACCCGGATGCCCCTTCGTAGATAGCACCATCAAGTCACCATCAAAAGGTACCGTCTTTGAGTAACACAGTTTGTCGCGGCCGCCATCGATACTCAGATAGTCGTGGTCGCAGTTCATGCCAATATTTGCCACTCTGTAATGTAAGTAGAAATGTGTAAGGCTAAGTTTATGCTGCTAACGCAAGCTACGATGTCATTCCGCCGAAATATCGTAGCGAAGACCGATCACTTCTTTACACCGGCCAGCTAATTTTGTGCAACTTACCTAAACTGTATGCCACAGGCCCCGCTGTGAGGGGCTTTACGAATATAGTATGTGCAGTCATCGTCCGTCTGTATAGTGAACTCCTTGTTTCGGAAGACCTCTTCACACTCGTGCGGTTGAAAAGCTCTTCCGCCGGTGGCGCGACCATCGACGCACGACACTGGTTCAGCCTCAATCCAGAAACCTCGACCAGCGCCGCTGTTGTCTGTGACAAAATTAAGTCGGACCTCATCACGTTTCCAAAACTGAACTATTTCTGAAATCACAAATAGGGTTAGCGAAGCAGTGATTAATTATTGAAGCGGTGCGAAAATTGCTTCAAAACACTACATTAATTTCGCCGTAAGGAAATCAATCGATAATTGCGTTTTACTTTTACGTATCGGCCCCAGTCACGTGTGAGCTTTCAGAAGGAGAGACAGTTAGTCATATTTACTTAGAGTTCTACACGTTATATTATTACGGGGAGAACAGAGCTATCTGTGATAGATTGCAAGGTCACAGAAAATGAACAGATAGCCAACTTACTAGTATTGCCTTTCCAGGCATCGCCGCAATAGTTGACGCCGTCGACGATCAGCTTGTCTTTACGACATTGTGCAGAATGTTCGACATCGAAATCATGGAATGTAAGTCGAACCGCGCAGACATTCTTGTGTGCTTTTTTTATCCTGAATATGCAGTCATGATTGGCAGGATACTTAAGCGGATAGTTATTTGATGTCAGATTACCGCTTCCCTCCTCGAGGCAGTAGTCGCATACTCCCTGCGGAATAAACCGACTGGGCACTTCACAGAGAAACGCATCCGCGCAAAAACACAATTATACCGTTGTTTCTGTTTAACATTTTCTCGTCGAAGCTTTTATTAGATTAACGTAGTGTTCTTCGTTTTCGATTTGAGTTCAATAAAAACGTCTGTTGGCTTTGATAGCGAAAAGGGAAAATAATTCGTCGCCTCATAGTATTTCTATAGACATCGACTAGGTCCCGAATAGATCGGCGTCAACGATTCGAACGATACCATCTTGGTACGATGGTACGATTTTGTTCGGTGTGAGCACTGCGGGAGCAAATCTAGTGACTAACTGTAGCATTTTTCAGAACTTAGAAGCTAGTAATGGCAGAAACATCCACAATTCTAATTTTTACCTCTGCATTGTCGCACAATGTATGTGTATATCTAGGATGGCAAGACCATATGAAATGGGGGCTGTAGAGGCCAGTGCGATTTTTGTTCTAGCGAAAAAATGCACATTTTAAATTTTGCCCCCATTGAATTTTTCTAATTCTTTTCGATGCGCATGGAAATTCGTGTTACTGGATATTTTCATTAAATAAATTTCAAAAAGTAGGCCCATATGGAACAGCTGAGTATTTTTGCATTTGATCGAACTTTTGTTAGACGATAAAACAGCAGTTTGGTTTGCCGTCGCGATTCAGCCTGTTCTAAAATGATATTTTCTAGGGCAAACGAAAAAGTTATGTTTATTAGCAATCTATCCATTGGACCGTGGGGTGCAGGACAAGATGAAGCCATATACGTCATTACGTCTCACGCGTACTTAAAACAGAATATCGTCGATGCAAACTCGACAGAGAAATCCAACAAAGTGGCCACAGGGCTCAGCAAAAATCCGCGTACATATACAGATGATAAGTAAAATTAAGCGACCGTATCTCCGCCTTTGTTGAACTACGTATGAATGCTACGTATGAACGTACGCAACGGTATGAATGCTTTCCAACGCTGACGCCTTTATTGACATAAGGCAGCATTTGTATACTGCGAAACCATTGACATATGCACCACATTGCGCATAATCACCATCATCATGTATTAGGATTTACCATGGATAATTATTTGTATTAGGATCATACGTAACCATGATAGTTTTCCAGGCTTCAGTGGAGTTTTGCGAATGAAGCCCAGGTTGTTGCTATTTTTCTTCACTCTTCGTGTGAGTGGGGTGCGGCTCACGGCACTCATGGGCAGTATTTGGCCCATTCAAAATATGGCTTCACCCTGCGCAGAAGAACGTCATCAACAACAAATCACAATTTTCACGGCGTTATATATAGCCCCATCCTCCGATATAGGAGGCTGGAGCTATATGTTACTTTATACTACGTTTTTTAGATTAACGCAAGCACGCTATATATGCACTAACAAATCTGAACCGTCTCTTTTTGCTATAGATGAGATTAGGTGCTAAAATTAAGAAGAGTACCCACTGAGCTGATTTTTAATACACGTAACTTGGCAGTGGCCCTTTTCGCTATTTCGATATCCGCAAATCGATCAAAGCTAAGATCTCATAGTTTAACTGACGAATGGACTGCACATCTAGAGACGTCTAGCTGAGATAGAGAATTTTACATTAGACAAAATTGCTTTCAGACAAGTCAGGCCTATTAAATGAAATGCCAGACCTAAAGTCAGTGTCTCTCTATAATATTCATATACACTGTACATTGAATATAGGCTTTACTCGACGCTATTGTTGAGAACGACTGATACGGTCACGGGAGATAAAGAACATCTTAGTATGTTTGCTAAAGGAACCTAAACGGGCCCACTAGAACTGACGCATTTTCGAGAAAATACTGCTTGAACAGTCCTTCTTTGTTAGCGTCAGTACATGAAGTTATACGAGGCAAAGGTGAAGCTATACGGGTCGCTAATGATTCCGTACAAAAAGGTCAGTCATTTAACAAAGTTAAACAGAAAATGCTTTCTAGTTTTTTTTTCCGAGAAAGAGTTGTGATTATGGCTAAAAAGGACGGTGCTTCATAATCATATACTGCCAAGTTAAGGAGGTCAAAGATAATGGTTCGTCTGCCATAGGTTGAACAGCGTAGCGTGAAGCCACATCTACAAGTTGCATTGTGGAGAAGTGAAGAGGAAGAGTACCTGTCTTTTCAAGCCAGCTTCCCCACATTGAAGTTCATGGCTATGCATGATTCTGGTGTAAACAATTACTCATGGCAAATTCTGATTTATGATCGTGCTTATTTTTAATGAAATGCACATGTCAGCAGTATTGTTTTACCTGAGCGATATGTTATGCTACATAAGACCATCAAAATTTCCCTCAAAGAAAGGGGATAACGATCGCAAAGATAGGTGCGTTATTAATTCAACTTAACGTAGATCCCTATGGCCACTAAGCTAAGTTGTGGTATGAGATAACTTCGTTTTTTCAATCTCTATATAAAATTAGCATCGGCGGTATCTGATTGCAAAGGTAGCCTCTCATCATTTTGCCGCACACAGCCCCCAGCGTGCTCATGGGTGTCAATGTTTAATTTTTAAAAAATAAGCTGATTCTTATTAATTAAACTTCGATAAAGATAGCAGAAAAAAAGGTCAGTTGTAATTTCGTCAAACAAAGCCAAACATCAATACGAACTGCACCATGGAATTGGATTGTAAAAGTCAGTTATTCCTTGCTGACTTCTGTTAAGGATGCTACTAGTTGATGCGAGATGCCTGCTATCTACAATGTCCGTACTCGCTATAGTCTTGTTACGTCCCGTATGGTTCGCTATTCTACAACTGTATTAATATACGTGGCAAATTAAACTATAAGGCTAGTGATAGCGCTTGGTGAAACGTTGGGCTGCATTGGCCCACTGCGGGTTGCTGATAACTAGTCAGGATTGCCTTAACCCAGACTGGCCTGAATAACAGGTCATATATAGATGCATAGCGAAGCGTAGTACTACTACTACTACTACTACTACTACTACTACTACTACTACTACTACTACTACTACTACTACTACTACTACTACTACTACTACTACTACTACTACTACTACTACTACTACTACTACTACTACTACTACTACTACTACTACTACTACTACTACTACTACTACTACTACTACTACTACTACTACTACTACTACTACTACTACTACTACTACTACTACTACTACTACTACTACTACTACTACTACTACTACTACTACTACTACTACTACTACTACTACTACTACTACTACTACTACTACTACTACTACTACTACTACTACTACTACTACTACTACTACTACTACTACTACTACTACTACTACTACTACTACTACTACTACTACTACTACTACTACTACTACTACTACTACTACTACTACTACTACTACTACTACTACTACTACTACTACTACTACTACTACTACTACTACTACTACTACTACTACTACTACTACTACTACTACTACTACTACTACTACTACTACTACTACTACTACTACTACTACTACTACTACTACTACTACTACTACTACTACTACTACTACTACTACTACTACTACTACTACTACTACTACTACTACTACTACTACTACTACTACTACTACTACTACTACTACTACTACTACTACTACTACTACTACTACTACTACTACTACTACTACTACTACTACTACTACTACTACTACTACTACTACTACTACTACTACTACTACTACTACTACTACTACTACTACTACTACTACTACTACTACTACTACTACTACTACTACTACTACTACTACTACTACTACTACTACTACTACTACTACTACTACTACTACTACTACTACTACTACTACTACTACTACTACTACTACTACTACTACTACTACTACTACTACTACTACTACTACTACTACTACTACTACTACTACTACTACTACTACTACTACTACTACTACTATACTACTACTACTACTACTACTACTACTACTACTACTACTACTACTACTACTACTACTACTACTACTACTACTACTACTACTACTACTACTACTACTACTACTACTACTACTACTTACTACTACTACTACTACTACTACTACTACTACTACTACTACTACTACTACTACTACTACTACTACTACTACTACTACTACTACTACTACTACTACTACTACTACTACTATACTACTACTACTACTACTACTACTACTACTACTACTACTACTACTACTACTACTACTACTACTACTACTACTACTACTACTACTACTACTACTACTACTACTACTACTACTACTACTACTACTACTACTACTACTACTACTACTACTACTACTACTACTACTACTACTACTACTACTACTACTACTACTACTACTACTACTACTACTACTACTACTACTACTACTACTACTACTACTACTACTACTACTACTACTACTACTACTACTACTACTACTACTACTACTACTACTACTACTACTACTACTACTACTACTACTACTACTACTACTACTACTACTACTACTACTACTACTACTACTACTACTACTACTACTACTACTACTACTACTACTACTACTACTATACTACTACTACTACTACTACTACTACTACTACTACTACTACTACTACTACTACTACTACTACTACTACTACTACTACTACTACTACTACTACTACTACTACTACTACTACTACTACTACTACTACTACTACTACTACTACTACTACTACTACTACTACTACTACTACTACTACTACTACTACTACTACTACTACTACTACTACTACTACTACTACTACTACTACTACTACTACTACTACTACTACTACTACTACTACTACTACTACTACTACTACTACTACTACTACTACTACTACTACTACTACTACTACTACTACTACTACTACTACTACTACTACTACTATACTACTACTACTACTACTACTACTACTACTACTACTACTACTACTACTACTACTACTACTACTACTACTACTACTACTACTACTACTACTACTACTACTACTACTACTACTAC